GATTATGTGAGTGCTACACATCCTCTGGGTGGGGGTAGCCTGCTTACAGTATAAGAGAGGGAAAGAGGCTTGTTCCCCCCTTTTTGCTCTTTCTGCTTTTGCTGTCTTGTGCTGCCTTGAAGTATTGCCCCTGTGCCTGCCACCCTGCCCTGGAGCCAGCTGATTATAGACTGAAGCCTCCACAAACTGTGAGCTAAATAAACCTTTCTTTCCTTAATTTTGGGTGTTGGGCATTCTGTCTCAGCAAGGAGAGAGAGACAAGTAACCAAGACAGGCATAAAAAAGGGTGAGCTACCTCCAGGGGCTGCATAGTGTTCATCCGAGTAAATTCAAGTAGAATCTGTTCAGCATGACCCCTCCTCCCCCCAAAAAATCAGGATTTAAATTTGAAAAATTCACAGAGTTTGAAGTCAGAGAGGGACACACCATGACTTTACAAATTCTGAGATTCTCGCTATAGAGATAGAAATGAATTTTAGCCAGCAGTGTTTCTCTGTTCTCAATAATGTTAAATGAGAACTGATGCCTTAAAGAAGAAATAAAATAATGAAATGGTAGAATCAAATGGCAACAGAGAAAGCCCACTTAGAAATATAATGAAGAAAGAGCAGCAATAACATGGGTAAAATCAAATGAGAAAGTGGGAGTGATTGGCAGAAAATAAAATTAATATTGAAGCTGACAAATCTCATTAGACTAGCTAGAAATTGTTATTTTTGATTGTCATCAGTATAACCAATTTTTACAGAAAAATGTTGCACTAAGATGAAATTTACAGCAAATATCACCTGAGATGTTATGCATAATAAATTCAAAGACAGAAAATAATTCCATGGAAATTTAGGAAGATAAAGTGTAAAGAACAAGCAATTTTTTAAGACAGAAATATAAAAGCAAAGGACATCTTCTAAGCTGTTCTTATTCAGAGAAACGCTAAATAAACTTCTGGTCCTAATTTTGTCTTTCACATTCAGTATCTTTTACACATAGAGCAGGGAATCCAATGTCCAATTCTTGAAGCTTGGGCAACAGGGAGTTTTGATTGTTTCACTCTGTCTGACTAGCTTTTTGTGTCTGGAGATTTATTCTGCAAAGTGCATGTGATCATTTGGGAGATTTTTATTAAATTCATATCAGCAAAGTTGGACATTTTCAAGAAACCTAAATATTCAGAATTTATGAGTTAGGTAGAGGCCCTAATCTGCCCATGAGGGTCCTGTTTATTTTTGTGTCAGGACCTGCCCAGTGCCCATCCTGGTGCGCATGTTCCCTGCTCCCACCCACAACTCCCTTTCTGGTATTTTCTCCTGAGGGTAGAAAGCAGCAGGCCATTGGCTTCGATGTGGTTGGAAGCGACAGTTCCCCATGGGTTGGTTCTGGACACAGTGGGAATGAATGCGTGCTAGTGCTGAGGTCCAGACCTGTGAGGTGCCATTCCCAGCTTCCCACTGTGGAGAGTGGAATTGGGATATTTGGGAGCTCAAGGTCCAGTGTCTGACATATAGGAGACATTCATCATGGGTATTGTAGAGTAAAACAGGAATGAAAGAGAGGCTACTTTAGTAGGTGAGGATGTGCAGGAGCCTCACCCACGTGACTTGGCTGCAGCTGCTTTTTCACAAAGCATTTTCTTATCAAGAATAGTCTGTGCCTTACAAGCAACTTTCCATCAGAAACCTTAATTCAGCCTTCTCAAAATCCATATACTTTATACATTTCTAATGTATTTAATAAGCCAAAAAAGGATCGGTTGGGAGAACAATCTCACAATTATTTCCATCACAGCACAAGCTGAGGGTACTCCTGGAACTATGCTCAAATCCCCGTCCCCATGGAAATCCAAGGATCTTTGTGTTGGCAATGTCACCGTCACCTTGGCCCTCTGTCCTCTGAATACTGAGGACAGGTCTGGGGACAGAGAGGAGTCAGGCCGAAGGACACACATCCTGCTTTCTATTTGGAGCCTGTTCTGGGAACTCAGGCACAAGCAGAATGTTTCTATGCCTGCAAGACACTCTTAATATCTTCCCCTAGTATTCTCATACAAATAAGGACACAACAGCCCAGCAGCCATGACTTCAGTATTCTCGGAGATATCTAACATATGTGCATAAAGAACCCAGTTTACAAAGGGCATTTCCTCTGCTCCCTCTAACCTGTGACAGTGACTTTGGAGAAATGCCTTCTTAGGCCTTGAGCTCCAAGGGCCAGGGAGCTGCTTTGGTGTATACCACACCCCACTTCTAATGCCTGCAGTTCAGGGCCAGCATTTTAGTTAATAGTTGCTGAATGTGTGAACATACTACTGAAAAAGGCATGCTGAGAAGTAAGCAATGATGAACTATATACATCTTTGTAGGCAAATTAGCAGACGTGTGACTCTTCCTAACTCCTACTGGAAAAAGGAAAAGAAATTGTTCTTAGGAGAATATCACAATGTTTAAATCTTAATATTTTTACACAGAGTTTAACATTCCATTAAGGAAAAAAATGGAGAGATAAAATAAACTTTTGTTGTTTTCATCGATGAGACAAACTCATCCTCATTCAGTTGTGGAAAATTCGCTTTGAAAGAGCCGGAATAAATTTTTTAAAGTATATGACTCAAAAACTGAAAGTAGGCTGAGGATCTGAAAATGGTATTATCAGGTAGAGAATTCAGTAACAGAGTTTAATTTCCATCAAGGTGGTGGAGGAGGAGGGTTGGTGAGCAGGGCTGTGGGAAAATGGAGAATATCCAGACTGGGAAAAAGGCCATGGATGAAGATAGAGGAACACAGGAAGCGTATTTGGAGGAATACTGCCATGAGGCTGCTTAGAACTGACCAGAACCAGCAAGGCCCAGGCTCAAGAATGACCAAAGTCATCAGGAGGAAGGAACAAAAGGAAACCTACACTGAACGCTAACAGTAATGGTCCAGACCAGGGAGGAGGCAGAAACCTCCTCAAAGCCACCCAGGACCTGGGAGGGAGGGTGCTGCAGATAGGGTCCAGGAATTCTGGGGAAGAGTGGCCTGGCAAGAGGAAGTCTGGTCCTTCGAGGAGAGTTCTGGAAGGGAGCTGCATGACCCAGCCTCCTTGATTCCTCTCTCACATCCTGGCCATGACGTCAACATTCTGTTCAGCTTCCACTGTGATAGGAGCAATCCCATCAGGCACTGGGACCAAAATAAGCCTTTTCTCTCTCAGTGACTCAACTCGGATATTTTGTAACAGTGACAGAAAACTGATGAAGACAATGTCATTGTTGTTCTTAGGAAATGCACACTAAACCAAAGGTAGGGGAAATGGCTCATTATGTCTGCAAATAACCTTCAAAGAGCTTCACAAACCAATCTGTAAACATAAAGAGAACGATTTCAGGTGCGGGATAAACTTGTTTTTGGTACTATGTTAAGGATGTGTCTGTAAATATAAAATTAAGTAAATAAAGGTGCAGCTGGCTACTTTCACTTTTGGACACATTTGAGAAGGGCCTGTACTTCACTGGATTTCAGGAAATTTACACCAGATCACCCCTGTCAGATTTTTGGGATATGTAGTGTTTTATAATTCGTTTCTGCACCAGAGCCTTACTATTTAAAGAACAGCGACTGTGTGCAGTCTTAACACAAAATCCACGAAGCAGATGTTGTTATAGTAAAACCTATATTAGTAGCATTTCAGATGCAGCCCCAGAGGTCCAAAGATATCCTAGATCTAGAATAATAGAAAAACGTGCTGAAAGCACATCTGAGATTGGCAGGTATGATTACATTTTATAGATGAATTAATGACTAGGGTAGGTCTGAGAAAAAAAAATCCCCATATTCATTTAATGGTAAGATTTGAGCAAAATATCCCCAATTCCAGCAAGCACACACCATCTACACTGTTTCCAGAGACTATGAAAAAAAAGTCTTTCCTTTGCAAGTTAATTAGATGGTATCTTTGTGTGGTCCCCAGAGCTCTAATTTCTCAGAGATTATACTCATGCACTTAAAAAAAAAGTAACATTAAATATTTCTCTCTCTCCTTATTCTAGAAAAAATATTCTGGTAATTTGAACAACTACTTTGAAGATAATATGCAGTATAACAACCATTGTTGATTTTCTAAAAAAATACATTATTCCTTGATCGTTCAAGATCTTGTATTTATTTTGGCCCGGGTGCCAGGCAGGTGTAAAAAGACCTAGTTTTTGTGCCCTAAGAGCTCACACTCAGGGACAGCAGTAAGAAGTGAGGGCAGATTTCTGCAGGGACAGAGAATCTGGAAAGCTTTGCTCTTCTTGCCACCCGGCTTAGCAGCCAGTGAGCCAGGTCTGCTCCGAGGTCACAAGTTAAGAGTCGAAACCCTCGCTGTCTTCATCGGCTTGGTCAACGCTCACTCGTCCGCCCCGCGCCCGCGTGGGCTCTGGGGTGCAGGGTTTGGCCCCGGACGAACGCAGGAGGTTACTTCTTACTTTGGAGAAGTTGGCAGCCTGTGCCGTGCGCGTTTGCACGGACCCAGAACATTCCAAGCTGGCTTTCCTTTGCGGTTAGACTAGGATGGTTGGAGCGCGCAGATACTCCCGGGCCGCAGACCCGGCGCCTGCCTTGCTCCCTCCTGGAGGGGACCTGGGTGACACGGGCGTGGAGTCTGGGCAGACGCTGCGGACCAGCGGAGCAAAGCCAACCAGCTCCGGGCAGCGAGTGCTGCGGCCCAGAGAGCGGCGGGCGGGTTGCGGGGCGCAGACTCAAAAGTGGGGGCCCTAGGGCTGCCACTCGCGCTCAGAAGCTCATGACCTGCACGGATCCCGGGGAAGCCGAATCATGCCGAGCTCCCTGCGCCGAACCCGGTTGTGCAGCGCAGGTCTCCAGGCTCCAGGAGTCCGGACTCTTAAGGGCACGCAGGTGCCCCCATCCCGCTCCGGCGGAGTGGGCGGGGCTGGGGCGGGGTCTCAGAGCCAGTGGGTGGAGCTCGGGCCGGTGGGCGGGCCAGGCCGAGCCCCGAGAAGAGGGGGCGGTACTGTGTGGACGCGGCGGCCCTGCACCGGCGCGGGCGCCGCGGATCCGAAGCTCGGCTTCGCGGCAGCGATGAGCGATGAGCGCTGAGGGTCCGTCTCCGCCCGCCGCCCGCCGAGGGCGCCCCGACCGCCTGGAGCCCGCGCGGGTGAGTGGGGTCGCCCCTCCTGTCCCTCGTGTCCCTCGTGTCCCTCGTGTCCCCTCCTCTGCTCTTTTCTCCCGGCCTGTCCCCTCCGTCCCTCCTGTCCCTCCTGTCCCCTCCGTCGCTCCTGCCCTTCGTGTCCCCTCCATCCCTCCTGCCGCTCCTCGGGGACAGCCGGATACCGTGGGCTCCCGCAGGGCGGCGTCCTGAGGTGCTGAGGCTGGGCTACTCGGCGAGGCTCGCGGTGCTGCGGGGTTGGGGTCCTCGGGGTCGGGGTCCGGTTGCCAGGGCTAGCGGTGCTGGGGACCCTGTCCTGCGGGGCTGTCACCCGCGCCCATCCGCCGACAGCTCTGTGTCTATTCTGGTCCCTTCTCAAAGAACACCCTCCCCGCATCTATTTTAAAATAAACTATTGATTGACAAACCCAGAAATGTCGCCTCAGACAAGACCAGAAAGTTATAGGAAACTACAAGCAGCAGCTCAGCACTCAGGTATGGGGCAGGGTGACCCGGCAGAAGTGACAGAGGGTGTCTGGGGGTAGGTGACAGGGCTGTCCCAGGGCTGAACTCGGGTGACCGCGGGAATTCCCCACCGGGGCTGTAGAGAGGGACGCTTGTCTTCTCTCCAGATCGTGCTGCTCCAGGTTGTGAACACAACATCTTTAAATGATGTGTGGAATGTGGGCGTTTCTTTATTTCTAAGTACTTTGTAATATGACTACCCAATGGTCCATTGTAGGATGAACTCAAAGCCTAAAAATGATGCTTGGGATTCCTCAGAAATAAACTGTAGAAAAAAATTCAGAATCTCTGGAGACTTCCACTTGCTATTTTATTACTGCTGTGATTTTCAGAAGGATCCTTTTCTATAGTTAGTTGCTGTTAATTTTGGGAAAGGAATTCTTGCAACAAGTTTGGTTTATAATCATTGTAATTATATTGGAAGAATTGGATTTATTACACTTTATAATTTGATTCAATTGAGAAGTTTTGGCAACAACACAGGTTAAAAGAAAATCTATCAATGGCAAGAATTCAAGTAACTACATTGAGCTACCTGTTGATTACTTTCAGGTGCTAATGTGGCATGCTACAGGGTCTGCTTAGTGTTCTCTTAACAGTAAGAACCTTGATGAACCAGACACACCTGAAATTCCAGGTTCTCAGGAGGCTGAGGCAGGAGGATAGATAGCAATTTCAGGACTAGCCTGGGCAACTTAAAAAGACCTTGTCTCAAATGAAACTGGCTGGGGATGTAGGTCAATGGTGAAGTCCCCGTGGGTTCGATCCCACTACCACAAACGTACACACGAAAGGACCAGGAGGATGTGAAATGGCCCATAGGAACTGTACTTATGGAGATTTTGGTGGGTACCAAGGGGCCATCTTTCAGCTGTAAGGCAGAGCAAGCTAAGAACTGGATGCAGGGCTTTGGGGTCATAAATAATGCAGTGTGCTATAGTGCGGTGTTCAATCCCAATGCATGGTAAGGATTCATATTCTTTAGAAGGAATATAAGCCTTGGATTTGCTCGTTTACCTGGCAGCCATGAGCATGCTTAGCCCTGGCATGGCTGTTGCTTGTGGCTCTGTTCATTCTTGCAGGTGAGCCCTGCATGGCCAGTGGATAGGAAGCCTTGCAGAATTACTGATTTTCTCATCAAAAGCTGTGCGTGTTATTGAGCTAGCATGGTTATGTAATAATTTCAGTTAAGAGAACTTAGTGCTTCTAATTAGAAAAATGGTGACAAAACAAAGACAGATGTTACTGAATCCATTAAATTTCCAGTCATAGTTTTTTTCTGACATCAAAAACAGCACATTCTTCATCATGCCTTCCTGTTTGCTTCGTGGAGACTTGGCCAGCTTTGGAGTCTACAGATCTTCTCTCTCCTTGCAGGCTTCTGTCCCCAGGTAGTGTCGGGGTCAGGTGAGGATGCAGAGCTCTGTCCCTGTGTGTTCCAGGGCTCTCTTGGTGGAGCACCGTTGAGTGCAGTGTGGTACGTGGGTCCTGCCTTTTCCTTTGACCCTGCTGCTGTTCTGTGTCTATGGCATCCAGGCCTCCTCAGCCAAAGGGGTTCGAAGAGGGTGTGTGTGTACTGGGCCACGGATAAGACAGAGGACACCTACTCACTTTCAAGATGCGAGTAGTAATGGGGTCGCTCATCATCTATGGGGAGATATGATTGTGCCAGGATGAACTGTGAGCTCCTGATGAGCTGCCCCTGGGTCATGATTTTGTCATACGCTGTTCACCTTGGACACTTCTTTGCTATCAGTTATAGAATTTCTATGGATGTGGATAACACCCACTGTAAGACAAAGTCATGTGTTTTAAAACAGAAAGTTACCTGATTTTACCAGGAGATGCGATGCATAGTAAATGTCTAAATAAGAGCCAGGTTAGAAAAGTGGTCACTCAGCTGGGGACAGTGGCTCATGCCTATAATCCCAGCATTCAGGAGGCTGAGGCAGGAGGATGGTTACAACTTTGTGGCCAGCCAGGGTTACAGAGTGACATCTTGTCTCCTCTCCAAAAACAACAACAACAAAAAGTGCCTATTGAGGGTATAAGATATTAAAATTGTCATTTTTCTGAATATGTGTAGATTGACAACTGTTTCCATCCAGATTTCTGTAGATTTTAGTTTTAATTGAGATCTACCTTGCAGGATGACCCGCGGGACACACTTTGAGAGGGGCACGTGGCATTGACCCCTCAGGTTACTTGTTGAGTGGGCATAATTGCTGGAACACCGTGGAACCAGTGTGACCAGTGAGACCAGTGACTTTCCTATGACATAGGAGCATTTGGTCACAGCAGGGGCCCAGAACCCCAAGGGAGAAGACACCCTGTGCTTGTGTCTGCTCCCTACGCCCATGCCACATTGGCATCTCCAAGGCACGTGGGGGACTGAGGCAGAGGTCAGAAACCAGAAGGGAGGCCCCGCATATGTGCCTGTCACCTGAGCAGTGAGCTCACTCTGGTTCTCTGCTTCTGATCACCCCCAGCTGCTCTCATTGCACCTGACAGGTCCTAACGGCATGCATTGGTGGGCGGGGTGATGTTTAGATACACATGCGCATTGGGGGAAGATTAAGGCGAGGTATTTGCCATCAACCGTAGAAGCAGCCTGCTCAGACTTTAGAGGTGTTTGGAGTGAAAGGAAACGGAAGTGGGAAAAGGCACTGAGAAGTCATTGGCACTGGAAGCTGCTGAGTGCTTTTCCTGTGCATCCGCAGCACTAGGTGTCACTGTACCCCAGTCCCTGCCGGCGTCCCCTGGACGCTGTGGAAGCAGCTTAGCCCTTCTATTTCTGCACTAAGCTCCCCGATGCTGACATGACCCCCTGGCGTCCCACAGAGCACGTCCTTCCTGTTCTCTGTGCCTGAGGAGAGGGCTCTGCCTGGGGCTGCGACTTCCTGTCCCATCGGCCTCTGGGTTTTCTTCTTTCACGTTGTGGTTGATGCTGTCAGAAGGGCCGTGAAGATCCCGGTGTGATTTTCAGTTAGGATTTCTCCCTGAAATAGTTGCTTTAGATCCTGTAAAGTGTTATTATCTATTTGCTACATTTTAATCAAGCAAGGCATTTGAGTGTAAGAAAAAGGATTATGCCTCTTCTTTAGGGCTAGTACTACAGACAATGATAAAATGTTATATTTTTAGCAAGTAAGGTACTCAACTTCAGAGGCCTTTTCCTCTCACATTGCTGAGTTTTGATTCTGCTTAACTTGTTTTATCTCATCTATTTCTCTTTTCTTGAAACCTACCACCACGTCTGGCATATTATTTACAATACATTTATCGTCATATTTTAAGTGAATAGCACTGATTGCAAACTGTCAGCATTTTGAGTATCAAGCAGGGCTGAAATTCATTTGATACTTGGGTGGACAGCACCACTTCCAGCACCAGTTCTGAACTCTATTCCTCTGCATGCAGCCATAGAAATGTTAAAATCATCACGTCACTGTGCGGTGGGCCTTCGTTTCATGAATTAATTTTTCTTACCATTTTCACTAGACCAAAAGTCCAGGAGGCGGGGGTACCTACCCCTAGAAGACAGTGAGGAATGACTATAATTACTTGTTTTAATCAAGATATATAACATTTTTTATATTTTAACCAAAATAAAACATTTATATTTTAATTTGATGTAATAACATTTATATTTAAATGGAAATGAAAAGTCCTGTGTAAGAATTGAATTTCATTTCTAGAACAGACGCTTCACGCAGGCAGATATTTGACTGTCTGTACCTTGTTTTGGGTAAAGATGCAGCTATGGGAATGAGCTCAGACTTTGCAGGAGGCCTTGTTTGTTGATGTGGCCTCTGCTTAGGAAAATAACTCGTATTTGTGAAGTGTGACATGACTGTTAATTATTACTATGGGAAAAAACTGTTTTATACCGAGGGGTGTTTCTACCCATGGTGCATGTCACCGCCCTTGATGCGCAGCATGGTGGTCCTGGCCTGGTCTCAGGCGAGGCCGGAAAAATGAGGGGAGGCTGAACCCAAATCCTGGTCCTTGACTCGCCCTCCAACTTCGCTGCCATGGCTTGAACTCCATCTGATGGACACCTCCTTAGCTAACCACGTCTGTCCGAAGCCTCTGTCCCATCTCCACTGTCCCCAGGGAAAGCACTGACCCTGTGGTACAGACCAGGGGCCTGTGTCTGTCTGCACCTGGCCCTTCCCCTCAGTGGTGGCTGCTTCCTTCCAGCAAGTCTGCTTTTTCTCCTCCTCCTCTTTTTCCTTCTCCTCTTCCTTTTTCTCATCTACCTTTTCCTCTTCCTTCTTCACATACCCTTTGGGTACCCCTCCTCCTTCTGTTCTGAGCCTAAGGTACCTGGAAGCTCCTCGGAGGGTGATTTTACTTCCTATCTACATTTGCCAGGTGGAGTTGGGTTCCCCACTCCCTGGGTTAAATGCCTATCACGTTCTGTGGACCCCGAAGCTGGCTGCAGCCCCCAGCTCAGGCCTCAGGCTGAGCCTTGTGCATTG